ATACATACATACATACATACATATATATATATATATATATATATATATATATATATAATCATTTTCCTTCTTTTATCAACATTTTTAATTTTTTGCGGATAGTATGGAACTAAATTATAGTAATAAAATTTGTTGCAAATGTGAAGGTTACGCATTCTTTGCATTGGGAATACATACATACATACATACATACATATATATATATATATATATATATATATATATTAATTTTTTTATTTTTTAATGTATCGCTTCATCTGTCAATCTTTAAAAGTCGTAAAAAAAAATAAAATACTTTCAGTGACAAAAACAATTTTTCAACAAAACATATCGTATAAGTAAATTATCTGCGCTCCTTATTGATGTGAGTCTTATGAAAAGGATACAATTTAAGTATGAAATATGTACGGTTATCAAAGAGTGACAAAATATTGAAATTAACTCCTTTATCGCTGAATAAACATTTGCCGATAAAATTATAACTAATGATGATACTTAAATTGCATTCTTGGCACGTGGCAGCAATCTTATCGTATTGGCTGATTTTCTGTTTCGTTCGGGCAAATTTTTCTTTTTTTCATAAAAGCAGTATTTTCTATTTTACGTGTAATTATGAATTTGTTAAAGTGAAATTTTGAAAGCTACGTTTTTTTCTCATTTTTTTCCTTTACCAGTATTGCACGATATGAAAAAAGATTTAATTATTTACAAGAGCGATGTATTTATATGGAGTTATAAATTTGTGTATGTGTGATTTTTTAAAACTAAAAATATCGATTTAAATTAGATTTAATTTTATTTTCATTGACGCTTGTTTCTGATTCTTCTTTCTTATAAATTTTCTCACTATCTTCGAATGTGTAATTATGAGCTCTTTTACGAGTATACAAAAAAATAGCTGCAAATGCGTTATTGATATTCTCTCTCTCTCTCTCTCTCTCTCTCTCTCTCTCTCTCTCTATTCGTTTCATGATCAAAGTTTGAAAATTGATCGAATAAATTTGATTTCATATGTAGGGTACTGCATTCAATGGCCAACCTACATGACTGCCTGAATTCGTCATAACAATTGATTTTTAATTGCGATACTTTAAATACAACACTGAAATAAATATTACAGGAAATTTCATTTAAATAATTCAATGATACATTTAAAAAGTATAAACAAGAAAATTAGAAGTACAAGCACAACCGTAAACGCAAATGAATATTATATATATATATATAGGCTGTTTTCCAGTTTTCGTCGAATTACGTACTCGTAGGAAAAGACGATGACTTTTTCTTAAAAGATCAGCATAATAAACGTACATTATCTTATATGTAACCGCTTAGCAAGAGTTCGTAAGTTTTATTTTACTGCGCGTTCAATCACGTTTATAATAATAATGCAGTCGAACTCGCGAGCCTATTTACTTCCCATATTGTTCACATAACACTACTGTTTAATAACGTCATACTTATGTACAATTATATATTGGATTTCTTTTACTTTATAATTGAAAAGATGCGCAAATCCTTCTGTTATCGATTTTTGTCATTCGATCGAAAAATTCGAAAACTTATTCGCAATGCGCCATTAAAAAAATGCACTTGGGGTTATTCGACAACTTGTTATAGATATTCTACAAGAAAATGTCCACTACTAGATATTGAAGATAGGCAGCATATTAAATGTGTGTGATGTAGCTATCAAATCAAACATAACGGGCGTTTAAATAAATCTACTAACCATTCGTCATCTGTATTGAATTGTAAAAGAGCGGCAAAGCTTTAAGAACAAAACCGTTGTTGATATAAGAATTTCCAATGACATGATTCTTATTTAATTACTAATAAATATATTCTATCTTTACATTTGTTTGTGGTGTGGTTAAAGTGATATATATATATATATATAGATACACATATATATAGCGATATATTCCAGCAGCCACAAACAATCGTAAAGTTTTTCTTTCGTTCGATCAATGTATTCGTTTGATGTAAAAAATTAATTTCATACGTGAGTGAATGACGTGTCGTTAAATAATAATGACCCTGTAATTCGGCAGTTTAACTAGTAGTGAACATTCTTAGTAACGTAGCATATTATATTATTCCTGAATTTTTATATTTCTGTGGAAATTCTGTACGAAAAACGAGTAGAAAACTCGAAGCAGACCATACGTCAATTACGAAATTCGAAAATATCAAGCGCGTCAGTACAAAAGCATAAAAAAACATATCGCTCTCGTTACATATTATGTTGTATTTATTCATAAATTGCCTGGCATGATTTATTGAGAACGGCTCGGCTTTGCATTAAAGATACAATTGTTATTTGATATATTTTTCACAGTGATTGTGTCATTTACATTTGATGTCGACCCACGCGTGGCTGTACCAAGTACCACTGGCCTGATAAAAATTCAAAATTCATTTCTTGTTCATCTTGCTCTCCCATTGATTTTCTTTATAGCCAAATTCAGCTCATACGTAAATTCGAGCTTTATCTCGTTTAAATAATTTGCTCACAATGTCTCTTGGCATTCGGTCTCTCTTGGCATTTAATTATTTAATTGGTAACCAAGGCTTGTAAACACGCCCTCGCAAGCGAGAAATAAACATGATTCGAGGTAGATAAAAAAAAAACAAAAAAAAAAAACATATATCAAACACTGTGCATTATTTCTCTTACTCAAGCCCTTTAGAGTAAATGAAAAAAATCAGTTTTACAGAGTAGTATGACGAATGAATTATCAAACATCGATTTTCACGCATTAAAAAAAGCCGATTCACATTTTTTTTTTTTTTTTTTTTTTTTTTTTTGTAGTGTTCGATAATTAATTAATATAACAATTAAAAAGTACAATTTATTTTAATGTAACGAGAATTCAATTAGTTTTTAAACTTGCAATAGGTAACAATTTTTTTAAAAATACGACAAAAACTCGATAATACATGAAAAATTCTTTCAAGTCATTTCTTTTTCATTGTGAAAATCTAACTTGTTTCAATATTTTTTTCGTTATTATTTTTCTTCTGCATCGTTCATTCATTTAGCTCCATTTCATCATTTATACACTCGGCATACACTCATACCTAGGAAAAACACAAGCACATTCATACACCGAAGTTACATATTACAAAGTGAACTCGAGACTTTGCTTGTAATGAAGTCGGATTCCTTATTTTCGCTCAATATATCTGTCATTTCGCCGCGCACAAACATAATATCCTTGTCCAAGATTGTTTGTGTGTGATTTAGTATGTGTGTACTGAAAATATATTTGAAAAACCTCGTGTGTAATTTGGCCTGTGTTATGTTTATTTTCTTTTTGCAGTTGTAGTATGTAGTAGTAGTAGTATGTAGTATTAGTAGTAGTAGTAGTAGTAGTAGTAGTAGTAGTAGTAGTATAGTAGTAGTAGTAGTAGTTGTTGTTGTTGTTGTTGTTGTTATTATTATTATTATTTTTTTTTTAATTTCCAAATAAAATTTTATACACAATTCTGGTCAAATCTCTTGCGTGGTTCGTACCCGAGGCTCGCATGGGAATAAAAAAAAAAAGAAAAAAAAAACGTTAGAAAATGACACTAGCTCATGACACCATGATTCCTAAATAAAGTTGAATCTATACTCTTATTCTGTATATAATCAATGTGTGTGCGTGCGTGCGTGCGCGCGCGTGTGTGTGCGTGTGTGTGGATTCCACCATCTTGTTCTCGACTACTATACACAGCGCTACTCTTACCAAAACGGTTTTGAAATAATTATAAATTAAATAATATTATCGACTATACTTGCTGCCCGTTTCATCATCTAAACGTAAAAAAACATATCATACAATGTTTGTTTACAAAATCAGGATATACACTAGCGTTTCGACTCGCTTCCAAGTGTAATAAGAATAGAATGATTTTTTTTTTTTTTTTTTTTATCACACGTAAAAAAGCAGTTGCATATGTACATATCCAATCAAGATTAGGTAATATTAGCATTGAAAATTGATTTTCCTCTTGAATAACGCGAGTAAAAAAGCTATTATTCGTTTGGTATATTTTCTTGATCGAGTTATAAACATGACAATTGATTTGACATTAATAATTTGTTTTGCATCCTGTCATCCTAACGCGAAAATCAAGTATTCGTAGCAGGAGTTCATATCTAACTGAAAGTAAAATCCTTTCCAGTCTCATTTACATACAAGCACTTGACTTGGTTTTTCTTTCTCTTCGTGTTATTTTAATTATTTAAAATAATAATAATAATAATAAAAAAAATAATAAAAAAAAAATAATAATAATAATAATAATAATAATAATAAAAAAAAAAAAAAACAACATTATCCGTATATAATCAAGATATCTTATAAATAACAAATAGAGCTTGGATTTTATTTGATGAGTAACGATTGTCTCAAGTATTCCTACAAAATATTGTTCTAAACAAAAGACCAGAGCTCCGAAAATTATGGCCTATACCTTAAAACGATACAACCGACTTTTTACGCAATATCATAATATCCTTCCAAAGCTCCTAAAACATGGCCTTATTATTCGTACACTAGAGGCGGCTAAGCTTTTTAGTAATTAATCTTAACTTTTGAATTAAATTTTGATTCAAATAAAGCTTTTATCCTTTTTGGATTTATCAGCTATCCAAAAATAAAATCGTACTCGAAAATTCAGTCTCATAACAATATCCATATTTTCACTGAATAGAATGAAAATCAATATCCTCGAATTTAATATCTCTCCGCTTAAACAAACAAATAAAAAAACAATGAAAAAAAAAAATAGTAAAAAAAAAACTCACTCTCCTTAGCTTATTTTCTTTCTTAAACATTCCAACTACTTGCGAATTTCGCTATTTCGGCTTAAGTACAATAGAAACAAATTCCAAAATAGTTATAAAAATATAATCCAGTAACGAGCTCATTAACACCGTTTGGGGGGGGGGGGAGGGATGTGCTTCATCTTGTTTGGGCTTGCGGTTCCGTAATAATTTGAAAAAAAAACCAAGTCCACTAGATGCTCGCTCATAGCCAGTCCTTGACATTTTTATATTTTCGTCGAGTCTGTGACAAAGCTCGTCTGCCCGCGTCCCTTGCTATTCGATCAAATTCGGTCAAGATGACAACTTTATTTCGCTAAATACGTATTACAAGCTCTCAACGCGTCTCGCGCTCCTCCCACCAGCCCTCCCACCCTCTCATTATCGTCTCCTCCACTCGTGCCCCATTTCTCCCATTTCCCTCCCTCTCAAAAAACTCTGCGCCCTTAAACATCATTCTCTTTCGTCATGTTTTGCACATAGCTTTATATATTCTTAGGGAATTGCGATTAGCTGACGCACGTGAATCATAATGGTATCGGGCGGCACCAAAAGCGTTTCTGGTCGACAACAATGGTCGCCGGCTGAAGAAAGAAAAAAAACTTTGAGTCGCGAATGACAGGTTATCGTATCGTTCCCTTATTATCTCCGTATGTACACGCCAACTTGTTGCATCTTTCTCAGCGCTCAACTCGCTGGCCCGGTTAATTTTATATAATCCCAGCTGCTCTCACGGAGGCAGTGCGCGGCCCACATAACACATTTACGTGCAGTATTCATTATGGATCCTGACTGGTGTTTGCTGAAGATTCACAATTCTGAGGACCGTGTTGTTGAGACATGTGAGTTATATGGACCGGTGATGGTCCAGGTTGTTGTTGTTGCTGTTGTTGTTGCTGTTGTTGTTGCTGCTGTTGTTGCTGTTGTTGCTGTTGATGCTGCTGCTGTTGCTGTTGATGCTGCTGTTGTTGTTGTTGAAGCTGCTGCTGCTGCTGCTGCTGCTGCTGCTGCTGCTGCTGCTGCTGCTGCTGCTGCTGCTGCTGCTGCTGCTGCTGCTGCTGCTGCTGCTGCTGCTGCTGCTGCTGCTGCTGCTGCTGCTGCTGCTGCTGCTGCTGCTGCTGCTGCTGCTGCTGCTGCTGCTGCTGCTGCTGCTGCTGCTGCTGCTGCTGCTGCTGCTGCTGCTGCTGCTGCTGCTGCTGCTGCTGCTGCTGCTGCTGCTGCTGCTGCTGCTGCTGCTGCTGCTGCTGCTGCTGCTGCTGCTGCTGCTGCTGCTGCTGCTGCTGCTGCTGCTGCTGCTGCTGCTGCTGCTGCTGCTGCTGCTGCTGCTGCTGCTGCTGCTGCTGCTGCTGCTGCTGCTGCTGCTGCTGCTGCTGCTGCTGCTGCTGCTGCTGCTGCTGCTGCTGCTGCTGCTGCTGCTGCTGCTGCTGCTGCTGCTGCTGCTGCTGCTGCTGCTGCTGCTGCTGCTGCTGCTGCTGCTGCTGCTGCTGCTGCTGCTGCTGCTGCTGCTGTTCTTGTGCTTGTTGCTGCTGTTCGTGCTGTTGATCTGAATCTTGTTTTTTCTTTCGGTTCGAACTGAAATACAAATTTTCAATCATCAAATTACCATGACTCTCCTTCAAGTCAAAATACTTTTCTACTGGATTCTTCGCGACGGAGATACTTGCACTCCTTTGAGCAAGAGAAAACGCTAAACGCGATGACGATACAAAGTTTAAAATTAAATTTAAAATCATTAATCGGTATATTGTTGCTCTCTATTCCTTTTTATTATTTCATTTCAATTCCGAAGATTTAAATCCGAAACCGAGCATAATATATAAACGATACATCAATTGGCTTAAATTCAAACAATCATCAATTATTTATAAAATAATTTATAAAAATGTTTACAACGACGGCCAAGTAAAATGTACAATCTTGTTTATGCGAAAGTTAATATATCAGCCATTTTTAAATTAATAACACATTAAAGGATTATATTGTGAATCCAATTGCTAATAAATAAAGTCTAATAAAATTGGTTAAAGATTTATATGTAATAAGATTTTAATACCGTAACGTCTTTGCAAAATTATGATGTCAGGTTATACGGGAATACGATATTTTGGCAGCATTGTTTAAAAATTTTATCGCGCGCTTAATTTAAGAGCAATTATTTATTAACGTTTGACGATAAGGTTAGTCGTACTCTCAGTGCAATATTTTACACAAAATGTTGTTAACCGCGGGACAAAAAGCCTTGCCAAAGCTATTTAGCTATTAAAGCTGCGTAATAACATTAACTTAAACATTTTATTATGAAAATAATAGTTTCTTTTTATACTCTTACAATTTATATTTTTATAGTTTTAGAAAACTATTATTCGTTCTTTGTCTGCTTCGGTAAATATTTTCACGTAAGTTCTCGCACAATACATTGTTTTATAATTTTACAAAGTTAAGATTTTCTGAATTTTTTGGTTTAAATTAAAAATGATTAAATATGACTAATTACTAGAAGAATAAAAAAAAAAAAAAAAAAAAAAAAAAAAAAAAAAACATACCGTTATTCCAATTTAATTAATAATAATTATGAGATTGTGTAAAAATAAATAAATCTCTTATATTATTTATATATACTGTAAGTAGAGAGATCATGAACTATTTTAATAGTTTCAAGCTTTTCATTGTGTGGTATATCATTGTTTTCTGGATACTATTTTACATAAAGATTTTATTATTTATTGCTAAGTCATTTTCAATTAGTATGGAAAACAGAGAGTAGAGATAAATTTTTAAAATTTTCTAAATTACTTTTTATGTATTTTTCGTTTGATTATTATTAATCACATGATAAAAACCATTTTTATAATATTAATTTATTTATAACTTATAACTTATAACTTATAATCCCGTGACAAAAATTTATTATTTACATTGAAAATAATATAAAAAAGAATATATATATATATATATATATATATATAATTGTGTATGTGCATTTAAATGTGTGTAAAATGAATATCGTATACACCATTGAAAAAGCAAAACCAATTCTAATTTAGTCTATTCAACTTTCCATAGCCGTAACTTTATTCACATTACTGTTTATATCTATATTCTGTATAATAGAAAATAGGAAGAACGTATAGACCATAAAATATTTATTTTACTAAAAATCTACAAGAACCTGTTCTTTCATATAAATATGTGAGTATCATTTATTATATCAGTATATTGTTTTATATTACTTCATGAATAATTAAAGATTCTTAAATAAAATAGCGTTGAATATAATATACAATTAAATAAACAAAAAAAAAAACAAAAAAAAAAATTTTAATTATCCAATATCGCATGCTTATTAACGTAAATAAATAATAAAAACATATAACAGCTTTGGTAGACTGATCAAGAAAATATTATAAACTATCTTAATGAATATAACGGAAAGATTTAAATATTAATGTATTAATATATTATAATGTATTTAAGATATTGCAATTGATTAAACTTTTCAGTTTTAGAAACAAAAGAAAATCGCTTGCCCTCTATGCTATCACCCACTATATTAACTTTACGTCAAATTTACCAAAATCTAATTCTCGATAAATGTTATTTTTATTAGAAGAAATTTTTCAACTTTTGTTCACCGTCAAAAGGCTTACTTACATTGAATTATTGTATCAGCATTGTAAATTTGAGATGTAAATTTTAATGTAATAAACGAATCTTCTTGTGTTTACATATTTTTAACAACAACATTCTTTTACTAATAACGTAGGAAAAGCGCAATAAATTAAATTTACCAGCGTTGACAAAAAATATATTTATTCACGCTATATTATAAGAAGAAAATAAATAACTATGAAGAATGTAATTTATGGTAATAAAACATTAATATTAATAAATTGATATATTTTGTCAGAGCTATTTGAGAAATTATTTGAAAATTCTGTTCTCAATTGGCACAATTGAAAGGCATCGATTGAAAAAGCATATTAAATAATCTAATTAAATAGTTTTGGTCTTTGTAAGATAAAAAGATGTGTGCTTTTGGGAGACAGAGAGAGAGAGAGAGAGAGAGAGAGAGAGAGAGAGAGAACAATTTTTTGATAATAAAAACTTGTTAAATAATCTTTCTTTTAACTTAACGATAAGTTATTAAAATTTTGCACTGAGAGTATAAAATCTTTATCTAAATGCCATCTATAACCTACCAATATTGCTGACGTATCTGATAACACATGGTATCGATGGATCTCGTGGTAGTCAAACGTTGTTGGTCTTCTAATTTTTGCATCATAGAATCATCGAATTGACCAGAACTAGAGAATTTAATAAAAAAAAATTTAATGAATAAACTTAATAAATAAACCAGAAAATTTAATACAATGAATTTGTAAATCATTAAATGATCGGTCTACGGAACAAAAATCAAAGGAATTTCTTTAATGCAATATTGGGTTAATGCGAGCCTTCTTAATGAATAATTGTTGAGGCGGAAAGATTCTGGAACATACAAGTGAATTTAAGCAAGTTTTTTAATTCGAAAAATTCTATCCACCTGGCTTGATATTAATAAATATAGTGAAGGTATTGAAGTTGTAAGCGAAGGGAAAATAAGAATTAAGGAAAAATTAAAAGTAAAAGTTAAGTTTTCGAAGCTTCGTAATAGCAATGTTTGTCCGTCAAGTGTTTGTCGTCTCATTACCTTTCGGATGCTTCTTCGACCCCATCTTCGCTCGTATCCTCGACTTCGGGTTCGTCGTCGGGACATAACTCAAATGCTAATTCCAAAATCCTCTTGGCACTGCTACTGCGCTCCAAGTAATAGCCGTTAATTGAGTCATTGGACTGGGCTGGTGGAGACCAATTGCTGTAGGCGTGCGTATAAGGTGCGGTCGAAGTATAAGGCCTCTATTTTAAATAAAACAGTCAATGATATTACGTCACGCATATTTTATTACATATTTTGCTGTATTAATTGGCGAATGGCGGGGTGGTGGTGT